TGGTTTATCCCTGAATCTGAAGGGACGTGTGTATCAAGCTACAGTACGGGCTGTTTTGTTGTATGGCTGTGAGACTTGGCCTATTCGAACAGCGGAACTGAGACGTCTTCAGGGGTTCGACAATCGTTGTTTCAGAACCATAGTTCGTGTGAGTTGGTGTCAGCGAATCCGTAATGAGGCAGTTAGAAAGCGCAATTTCGGTTGTGCAACGGATACTTCCATTGAAGAATGTGTCCAGCACCAGAAGCTGCGTTGGTTGGGACATGTGTCACGTATTCCGAACCATCGTTTGCCGAAGAGAGTGCTGTTTTCCATGCCCAACTCAGAGTGGCGTAAACAGAGAGGAGATCACGAAACGCTTGGGTGCTGTCTGTGCTACTCGCCTTCCAGGATGGGGACCGCGTGATCCTCATTGTGCCTGGTTGGAGACACTACAAGATATGGCTGCCGACCGAGTTAGTGTCGTTCTTGTTGTCAGTTTCTATCCAGATTGCCTAAGTGAATGTCTGGAGGTGTAGGCACCTCGGAATGATTGTGTTAAGCTAGCACTAAGTCCCTCCCCCGTCCACCTTTACTTTTTTCTTTACAATAAGGCCTTCAAATAAGTCATGGCTGTACGGCAGTGAAGCATCAGTGTTGAACACTGATGTCATGCTGTCGATGATAATGATAATGCCCTTAAGGCCACAGAGACCTCCGTCCAATTTCAAGTAAATCGTTGTGTGAGCAAACGTTCTTGTTCCGGTGATGGTCTCGAATCTTCCAAGAGTGGTGTGCGGCCGATGATTTCAGGCAAGTATACCTCTCGGTTTTTCAGTACCGAATAACTTCACTTACGGGATGGAATCCCAATCGAATAGGCGTCTGACTATTTTATCATCCAAGGCCTTGAATTCAGACATGGTACGTTTATTTGCGAACTTCTACCACCTCACAGCCAAGCTACAGGTCACCTGCGCACCAGTTAGAAATAAATCCAAATAAATGCGAATAAAGTATTACCGGGCGGTATATGCACTCACTCTGAGCAGCCACTGCACAAAAGCACAGTAGACAATCAGGTTGATGCGTTCCCAGCGGTTTGGATAGGGGCCATAGAAGCCTTGAGCTGGACAACGTGGTTTCGGAGTCAGCGCAGCCAGAATGAGCAGAGCAGAGACGATTCCCATCACGGCAATGACCAATGAGATACCCAGCATGAGGAAGAGCTCCATTTCGGAAAATGTCAGCTGTGTTAACGACTGAGTGGGTAGAAGACAATAGAAACTTAGCCCTCCCGTCTTATCCGTCGGTTGAGAAAAGGGATCTTAGCGGTAAATATTTCTCCCTAGCAGTGAAGCACTAGCACTTAGGTTGAAACAAGTGATGATAACGATGAGAGCAGTGAGCTAGTTTAGTCACCATTTACTCTGCCCCAGTCACTCACTCTCTGGCTTCCCTGGATTCTTTCGATGCCTGACCCTGAATTTAGCTTTCGAATAACTTTCCCATAGCTTCTTAGTGTTGTCAGTGTGCCATTTTGTAGTGTAGAAAAAGTACCATGATGAAGATTGTCAGCTTCTCTAAGATCCCACGGAGAATAAACAATAGAAAGGTCATCCTACTTTGCAGCAACAGTCAGAATATGAAACTGATCATCCTGTCAGGGCAAAGTAGCGTCACTGGAACAGCTGTCTTATTACGGTTTAGTAAGAACATAGAACTTATCAACAAAAGAAATTTTAGTAACTTGGTTCGGTGAATTAACTGAAACTGAAATCTGGGGAGACAGAAGCTCAGTTAAGCTGTTTCCACCCATAATCATGACACTAGCTGAATCTTCAGTACCGTCCAGTTAGCTTACTCATTTGGGCTTCAGCGCTGTAATTATCTTTACTGACTGCAACCTTGCTTCTCAAGGTATCCCCGTGACAGAAAGACTAAAGGAAAGCAACGAGACAACGATCAGGGACTCCCCATATTACGAGCAATTGTACTATGAGGAAGGGTACGATCGTACTGTTCGGTGCAACAGGTTAATAAAGATATTGAGGTGTTCTATCCATGCAAAAAGCAGCCCCATATTTTGGGTGGCCGGGATACTACCCTTCCTGAGAGAGACGGGTCAGAATAATCCAGATAACGATGTTGATGAGGTTCCAAACGCATCTGTCATGCTCAGTAGGGTCAAAAGTAAAACATCTGTGTCCCGTATCTTGTGGCCTCTAACAAGACCAGTCCCTTAATGCTAAGTAGATCAGACCCTTTAGTCGTTTGCTTCGGTAAAGTTTGTTGATGAAGGACGGGGCACAGTTTGCGTGACTAAGCCAAAGGATCAATATCAACAGTGAGGTATTAAGAGAATACATACAATAGACCCTCTAATCGGTTGCTTCGGTAAAGTTTCTTGATGAACGACGGGGCACAGTTTGGACGATTAAGCCAAAGGTTCAATATCAACAGTGAGGTATTAAGAGAATACAGTAGAAGAGTGAAGATGTGTTAGCTCCGACTGAGGACATGGCAGATTAGAACAATTTTGGGCTGGGATGAAAACGACGGATCCGAAAGTCGCAGATTGATTATGGTCAAGTAGCTTCAGCACCACAAAATCGACGTGGCTTTTGTCAAATCAAGTCGTTTGTCGATCAAGGAACAATAAAGGAAGTTGGGTGCACATCCTGTTGGTCAGCACTACTACTGGACAGTCGATGAAAAAACGAAGTACGATTTTCCGTGGCCGATCATGTAAATGGAAGAATGACGGGTGAACCGACCACATCAATGCAAGGACAGTGGCAATGGGGCTTCGAATTTCTCGCCACTTCTGTGTGTGTCCACTGCATCTGTGTGTCACATCCAAGGGTGCATGTTCTTTGACAGGTATAATTCATGGTGACGAAATTCGTTCAACTTGACTGATCTGTTGGTCAAGACCAATCACTTATGGACGAGCCGACTACTATAGAGCTCGATCAATTTAGTCAATTTGTGACTAGCGTGAACGCTCGACAGATAACGCGCAAACATGCTAGGCTGTGGCGGACCCCGGATAATGCCCATGCGTGTGCAGCTATCCCAAATCAACCAGAACGACAATAAGTTACTGGAGCTCCAAATTTTGCGTTTCTCGAAGGATGCCTAACTGACCGTAAAAGGATTACCAGTTCGATCAGTCAGCGTATGTCAGCTGACAGAATTGGGCAGTTTGAAATTCATTTAATGCTTGCCATCAGCACCAACATAGTTCAGTGAAACGTAAAAACCCAGCCACACCAAAGCATCTATAATTTACGGAAGTACATTTCGTCCTCTCCAGTGATCTCCTCTGATGTTGTCATCAAATTCGATGAGATAAAAGTTCAGGAATGAGGATACTCAATAAAACTGATTACGTATGTTCCCATGACTCTCGTTTGAACAATCGCCCTCCTGTCCTGAGAACACACTCGCCTCCCATATCAGATGTGCGGAGTTCAAACCCAGAAACGGATATTGGATATGCACTGCTGATGAGTTCTAATAAGAATGAAACTCGAGTCTCCCTCTCTCTCTTCCCCTCTGGTGTGGACTCACGAGAATGATTGCGCCAGGACAGGAGGACGTGTTCAAACGAGAGTCATCTGAGTTTACATTCTGTGAAATCCCGCAACCACAAGCAACTGAAAAAACTGGTTATCCCAGCAAGCAGCTCGAAACACTCCGATAATAGAAGTCACCACGGCCGTCGGAAAAAAAGTCTTTTACCTGGGTGGCATTGAACGTCTGTTTCAAGGTAGAGGTCAGAAGATGGTTAGCGCTTCAGAAAACATGCAGGTTGCAAAAAGAAAGGGGTGTAGCTGTGCTCTTTTACGACTAATAGGCTTATTGTGGTTTTGTATTCAAACTTAGGTTTGATTTATTTATTTACACACTACTCTGGACGTCCGTTCTCCACAGGAATTATAGTCTTCAGCAGACGATAGACGTCAGTCTACCGTCAGGAGTCTTAGGGAGTTAGTGTGATCGCCACAGAGTGCCAGGTGCATATATATCCACCCAGCTGCAGTAAGCCTGGATTAGATACCACCAGTCGATTAGTGGTATGAAAAGTCATTACTCACTAGCAATTTTTGGTGCGCTTCTCTATGCCAGACTTCTGAGGATGTGACAGATATCGCATTACGAATCTCCACTCCTTGCTTTCTACTCGCTAGCCACCATAAAGATATCACTGTCCCATATAAGGTTCACTGCTCTTTGTAGATGTGCACCTGTCCTAACGTCTGTGGTGAAGTGGGAGCTCAGTAAAACTATAACGAGAGTCTTTGGGACAAGCGGCCGCAATCCTTGATGATACTGGCTCTCAAGGGAGTAATGCAAGTTTGGTGAGAGCAAAAGCCACACTTCGCAGATCCGAGTTATCACTTCGCTCACTCTAATACGGCTAGCAAGATAATTACGTTTGCGGGATTTTGATGAACGACGAACAGAGACCATGAAACTGTGTCTCCAAAAGACAGTCAACTTTTTAACCAAAGAGGCTCCACATAGTGAAGCTCTGGCTTCCTACACTAGACAGAGTGCGGACACTCCAGTAACCCATGTGCAGTGCTTTCTAGACAGTGAAGAGAGCAAGGGAGACTCAGCTTGCTTATTTGTCACCTTGCCAGTTGAGGTAACGTCAGGAGCGTCAGATCCGGGGTGCGACCTAGTATGAAGGGAGGTTCGCATTGTAAAAATAACCATGGGTTAGCATTGGAATTCTTGTACGAGCGACGATTCCAGCCCCATGAGACTTTTGATTCAGAGCAAACCTCGGGCTTTTGGACAGCCAAATTCGGACTTCAATGAAGAAGGAAGGGTTTTGAATCTCTGGAATGGCCAGTGTATCTTGAGCCAACGTTGGATTTGGCGTTTATTTGAGTTCCATTCTCTAACCTTTGTACATCCAAGTGCAACCTCCAGAGTAACAGGGTTCCATGATCACAGTTGATCGCCATACCCTTCTTCTGCCAATCAACCGGCAGAAATAATCATTAGCTCTCCTGATTTCCATCTCGTGGCTTATGTAGCTCTATTATTGCCGAATGATGCTTGTCATGTTATGTTGTCGTCATTTGGTCACAACATGGTTAGTACTGTCGCACCACTGAAACACGCAAAAAGTCACTTTCGTAGATTAGACACACATTGGCTGAGATGACAAGGCCTTAGCAGCCTTGAGTGAAGAGGTCAAGCTAGAAACACCAGAAGTCGGTTGAAACCCTGTTCAGCTGCATCTGCACATCCAAAACTTGAGCATTTTGCCGTGTATTTTAGTTTCACAAAGTCTTTCAAAAGCAAAAAAGGCGACTACCAAAATCTATGGTCAAAAGTTCATACACGACTGCCAGAAAGGGGATAAAAGAGCCAAATGGATGATAGTGTCCAGGTGTTAGTGATACCAACGCTTCACTGTATATGGTGAAAGCAATGTTTGACAGAGACGAAAGGGTAAACGAGGATGAGGTTACCCGATAAACTGGGTGTCTTCCACTGTATCTTTGTGAGTGTATACTACATGAAAATACTGGAAATAAATCAGAGAGGACAAGAGGAAGATACCACTTCGGGGTTAACATGTCCGTAGCAAGAAGTGATTCCATTCTTAGGAGGTGGACTGGCTCCAAGTACTGGCCTTCGAGAGTAATGTCGGACAAAATTGAAAGTGGGTTCCGTCAACTTGCTGCTAATCCCTTCCAACGGTTGGTGATACGCATGCCATGTGAAGTTTCATTGCTGTATCAACACGTTTTTTACAGCATTTTCCGCTCCGCTCCGGCATGTTTTTCCTACTCTCCGGGCGTTTTTCCATGAAATCCCTCCACATTGACCCCAGACAGTGACGTCGCGTTCAGTGTTTCCAACAGCAGTTCTTAGTGGAAAGTTAAGAAACAAAGTCACTTTATAAAAACTGGTCCTCAAGGATGATGCCATCTGTTTTTTAACGATGTTTTTCAACGATCTTCTAAAAGCCCATCCAACCTATATGTCATACAGCCATACATCGCTGAACATCCCCACATGTCATCATCATGTTGCTCAGCTAGAATACTAACCTTAACGAATCTGACAGCTTTTCGTTGCTCGTCTAGGTATTCTTCGCTTGGATAGAGATGTTCAAGATAGTCCACATCGTCGTCCGGATAATGAGAAGTCCACCACGTCTCCCTTGTTTGCTTCGTCTGCTTTCCCAAACCAGAGTTTAGATCGTCCTCCAGGAGTTCGCCGCGTAGAAATTTCTACGATCAAAAGAAATTTGCAATATTCTTGAAACTGGGATACTTACTTGCATACTTAGTTTCTAAGAGTTGTATTGTGCTTGTTCAACAAGTATAAGCTGGAGGAGCTTATAGTATATTACGTGGGAGGGACAAGTGATGCCTGTAAATTGATTCGTTGTTGCGTGTGCACCTAGAATCATTTAATATGCTTGGTTTTTGTATTTATATGTAACGCAGCTTACTCCCCTATGATCTGAATCAAAAGTCAAACGGTCCCTCTGAGGCGAAGCGAACGGAAAAAATCGACGGGTTGGTTAATATGTACGTATCTTACAGGTAGTTAGATGCTATGCGGCATGTTAATAGACCAAATGCACCTAAACATGCAGGGATTTGGGAGCTTCATTTGAACTTTGTCTCTCCAATTAAAGGTGATCTGTATTAAAAGTCTGGGAGAGGATGCACTGTACAGCTCTTTCGTCGCTGTTGCGGTGCGCATCTGGTCTGCTCAGAGAAAATAAATCCCACAAGGTACGCGAGCCTTCAGTGTTAGAAATCTTCACTCCAGGAATCAGCTCAAACCTAATCATGTTAAGTGAACTGCACGATTGAAAAATGATGATGCCGTATCCTGTCCACGTGCGGAATGGTCACGCACTTGATTAGTTTGCGGTAGCCGAACGGCTATCAGCCAACATCTGGCGGTTTCAAACTGTCCTGAAGCACGCACTACTGACGATTCTAAACAAAGATGAAACAGTGTATAGTGCTTCCTGGCTTCTTAACGTAAATAAAGTTTGCTTGTGTGATGGAAGTTCAGTTTGGACTTCAAAAGCTCCTCATTAGCTACAACATATAGTGATGTCAAACAACGGAATACAAAGTGTGTTCATAAACTTGACATCTTAGCTAGCCAGTTGGATCTACACTTATTTTTACTCAGCCTCCTAATTCTATAGGGTTCATGCCAGTTCAATAGTAGCCAAATGGTACCACACACGGATCAGCGTCACTTGCGTACGGTGGTACCTGCACACAGTATCTAATGACAGGCATATAAATGGAAGAGTTAACCACACCAAAACAACATTTATTTTTCTGATTCGACCCACTCAACCAGAATCGACTGAGAATGATAAATCTTGTTCGCTCGTTTCAGCATCACTTCAGTAATAATAAGAGAAAAGTTGTAAAAAGACAGGATATTTTGTAACCAACTCTGTTTTATAGCTTTCCACCGTTGTAAACCTGCAACGGTGGCTTATATAACGGTCCAAAATTCACAGATTTTTTTACGCCAGAAACATTGGAATAATTATGTTAGTACTTCTTTTTGCTCACATGATATGAGGAGCGGTATAGTATATCAAACGATTGGCCAGTGCTGAAGGGTTAGAAAACAACAACTGCTAAAGCCACACATCTTGGGGATTTGGAAAATTCTCAGTCTAGTCCGATTATAAAAAACAGCGTATCAGCTATGTCTGAGGTTTATGCATTTAATTTGTACAATATCGGCTACAGAATTGCAGTCAACGTCTTCGATTTTAGTGAATCGTCACCTAAATGTGTTGCAACAGCGATAAGTAGGATATCATAAGAGCAGTGATGAAAATCAAATCGAGACCTAGTGGTAGCCGTGCTTTTGAATTTTGTCAAAGACTTAATTAATATGATCTTCTTGGTTGATATTAAGATAGTATACTAGGAAAACGCCGACCATCCAACATTCACCGTCTAATTAAGGGATCAATATCTCTGTGGTGAGATGTGTAGGGGTTTGGAAAACACCAACTTACTCCGCGAATTTTGTTGAGCAAATCATTGGAGCACTGCACAGGTGTTGCCAGTTCTACAGAATAGGTTGACGGTCGATCATAGGGGCATTCATTACATTCGTGAACAGGTTCTTTTTCATCGGTGTAGCTATTCTCACCGCACGGTACACAAACGGGGTCGTGTAAATCCGCGATCAGCTGAGACAATAAGAAGACGAATGTGTTGCAGATTGACCGTAATCAAACTATGATTTTCGTTATGGGATCAAAATTTGCCAAATTAGACAAAGCGCCCTCCACAAGAAACCAGTAGAGTGCATGTTCTGAACTAGGCTTATCGCCTGTAAAAAGGTTCGTTAGCAAAAGCGCCACTGACATTCGTAAGGATCATTTTCGGTTTATTAACCAGCTTTGCCTAACAATGCTAATTTAGGAATTGCATGATATAATAAGAGGTTTCAGTTACCTACCTAAATATAAATCTAAATACTCCTGTAAAACGAGATTCTGTACAAGTACGGAAACCCAGCTTTGCACAGAAGTTAACTGGAGTAATAATCCTCTCATAAATATTTTAGGAACGCTAGTGTTGGGGAGGAGTTGTGTTAAAAATTAAACACTGATAAAAAACCTCGAAGGAACCTTTATTTCACTGTATCTGCAACCTGCTTTCCTGTCTCTCATTGTGCTCAGAGAAATGACATTGAATAACTGGTACGGCTCGAGCTGACTATGCAGTAAGGAAATATGACATGGTCTTTGCTACAGGCCAGAAAAACGTGGCTGACAAGTGTCGTTTCCAGACCAACTTCTACCAATTTTGAAAGCCTTCCGTCTTGGATATCGCGAGTAAACCACATTAAACGACCTAGGCTAACAGCAGATGATAAATATGAACTCCGAATGTAACGCACTACCCAGAAGTTTTCTGAATTCTTCACATCATTAACGAGAGATGCGGCTGGATTCACTTGAGCCTGCGTCAAAACCAAATTCGTTTTCAAATGAGAGTATTTGTCACACACTGAATCTTGATGCAAGTGGAAAGTGTGACGACAGGATTTAAATACTCTAGTTTGCGGCATGGTTAACTAAGTTGGCTATGTTTTCACTACTTAAACGACCTGTAACTCACTTGTCTGCTTGGCTTGTCAACTTTCAGTCTGTAACCCAGCGGACAAATGCGGTGTTCGTAGGAGTATGGAGGGCTACGTAGGTGGCGTTCGACAGGGGCGGGCGCGCAATGAGTTATTCGTGGTAGGACATTCAAGCGTGAAATACCCAGTTCTTTACTGTCAATGCCATTCAAGCCCTCTTTTTCAACCAAGAAACAGTTTTTTGCCTTTAAATTCATCCTGGAAAGAAATTGAAATAAGTTTTTTTCAGTACTTAATTGAGGAAAATATTACCCTCGTTGAATATCATTACGATAGGTGTATCATTGATTTGGAGTTAAATATGGCAATACGTATGTGGTTGGATCCCACATATGATGAGTTTCATCTTTACTGGAATTCATCAGTTGGCCACAAATGGTCGAACACCCGACTCTTGGACTAATCGCTTCAGGCCACATCACACATCCACTGGATGGTTTGATTTTAGAGATGATCCTTTGTCCAACTGACTGTCAGCTGGATCAGGCAATCTACTGACTGCGGATGAGAAGTCAGGTTAGTCATCTATCCCCGCGGACGACCTCATAGCGGTCAACGTGAAGGCTTTTTCAATTCCATCGAGGATGAGTGTGCTGATTACCTTGTTTAGGATAACGGATTTGATCACAGAATTGTACAGCAATCTAGAAAGCTGTCGTAAGATAGGCCACAAGCCAGACACATCACCATGGAAAACATCATCTCCGTATGTTCGTGCTGTTTGTCGGATTTTCCTGTTGGCAAGATGAGTATGAAAGAAATACCGATGTTTTTGACATTTCCTTAAAATGTAGAGTCTAGCATGAACAACGCAATCAAACCATTAGACTGTATTCGCATGATCTACAGGAAGGGTTTTATCCGTCTGTTATATCTTCCACTCTGCTACCACGCACTATGAGTGACTAGCTCCGGATTACTTTTTTCCCGTAGTATGACAAAATTTTGTAAAATGCGAAATTTCAAATAAAACTTGCCAAGACAAGATATTGCATGGTGTTATCTCTTTATCTCTGTTAGCACTATAAAGCCCGGCAGAAAATACCCCTAGGATAACCAGTTTCATTTCTTTCTAAAAGACATTCAAGTAGAAAACCTAGGAAGATGAAACTATTTGTTTTTGAGGACACATTAGAAGCTCTACGCAATAAATCATAATTGTTTTGCCTTAGCTAGAAAGCAAACTGTGGAAAATCGGTGATCAGTGGCAACACCCTAGCTTTATTCTTGTGTATTTCCGCCGGAAAGTAAAACTACCATCAAAAACCTCTGGAACCAATGAGGCTTATGAAGTTTGCCCAGCAGATCCTTAAAAATGGCAGGAAAGATTAGGGAAATCCTACTAACAGGTTTTCTTTTCACTCCATATACAAACACCTACTCAACGAATTGCAGTTCATCATAGTGGAGTTGTCAAAGTGCCATGTGGTTGTATAAGGTCCACTGCATTTCGTGCACAAACAGCGATGAAAGCGGATAAACCGATATGAAAGTCTTGAGCCGCTAGTGAACCTGATGTCTACAATATTAGACATGACAAGCAAATGCATTGGCTAATGCGTTGTTTAGATCTGCTTGGAGAGTGGTAATATATTTCTCCTTGTTTTGAAATTCTGCGGTTAGCATCACTGGGAGGTTTTTTAACAGGTCTGTGGTAACCCACATCTGATGAGACGGCTGGATCACCAGGCTCAACATGAAGAAGGCACAGTTTTGAATCTGCCGACTTCGAAAAGTAGAACCGATGGATCCCGAAGCATTTGTAAAGCGTACGGGGATAGACTAGCTCATGGAAAAAGCGCTCATGCAAAGTACCGATGGAATTCACCGCCTCTGCCTCCCGATAAGCGTCAGAACCTGAAAAGTTTCAGTTTCCCCTCTTGATTAGTTTCCATGCTCGTGATTAGCCGATATTACTAACCAACCTTCCTTTCCGTGAGAGGACTCGATTTGTAATGCTGAACCTGTAAGCCTAGCGTCTGAGGCGCCTAAAAGCGTCATAAACAAATGCCATTGTCAAAATATACCATCCTTCTAGTCGGAGTGAACAGGAGCGCAAGTTAACATCAGCGAAAGTTGCGTCAACTCGACAAGCTGACGGTCAGACAATTCTGTTTCCCGGCGTAATTCACAAGCGTTCTGTTAGTAGTGTGAGGGGAGCTCGGAATTTTGTCACTGTGCTTCCGGCTTTTCAGCATAGATTAGCTCCTTTTACAGAATGAAATACTCACAAGTGTTCTGCTTAGTTTCACTACCTTATCATTCCATTCCGCTACGGTCCAGTGAGTCAGCTGACTATGATGCGTTCTCAACCTTGGACGAGCACCTTGAGCGGCAACAGAGCATCACTCGACTCCCACCGCATCCAACTCACATGGGATAGCCGCTCTACCCAAGTCTGCACCGCAGGTGCCTGAGGTAACTGAGGTGTGCGAACGGATGGAAGAGGTAAAATCCCGAGTGTAAAACACAAGGGGCGCGTTTATGTCATGCTGATTGAAGGTAGGCCGCAAGGCAGCGCCTTGAATCTCGAGACAATGAAGGCCAAGAGTGAGGAAGCTTCTCCTCAAAGTACCAGCCTGCCTCAAAAAGATGTATCTGTCACACTGCCGACTATCTACTTTGAACGCCTACACTGCTGCAACGGAGAGCGGCTAACATTTTTTCTGTGTGCTTAAACACTCCATGTCACCGGACAGCCCGGATGTGACTACCTGTTCCGCAAGGGTCAGTTAACCGCATTGACATGAGCCAGGCGCGAATGAAGCCGCACTCAAACTACACATATTAACTTGAACCACAATTTAAGGGGCCCATCTTGACTTCTATCTACATGAGATCTACTGCATCAATCAAATTAAGTCAATCATAGAAACGTATATAGTTTACCTCGGAGACACTTCAAATCCATTTTATTCGGCAGTCTGTTTGGCTGTACCCCCACAATCTGGTGACTTTATGCACGTCTGTACAATGTTAGTTGTGCGGTAATGTCTGATGGTTTCACTATTAAAAAGTTCGAAGCCGCACACTTGTTGACCAGTTACAGAATTTGAAATACATTTCTCATCATGACTATGTGAATTGAGCAACCCAGTAACAAACTTTAGTGCTTGCAAGCACTGAAAGCCATAGCAACTCCTCGATTTACATATGAACCTAGTAGCAGCTTTCCGTCAGGTGACAGCCTCAGCTGGTATGCTCCGTAATGTTTTATCCGCCAAACACAGTGTAGGTGAATACTGCCTGTGTCTCACTGAGATTTCGATGCCTCAGTTGGTATGCTCCGTAATGTTTTATCCACCAAACACAGCGCAGGTGAATACTGCCTGTGTCTCACTGAGAGATGGAGCGTGTACCATGCATGACAGTGTCCAGAAAACTGGACAGTAGACAACGCGGTAATCACGAGACAGGACATGGAAGGTTCTGCTGGCGAAGAAGCTACAACCGAAGTGTGGAAGTGTATAAACTGACTTGAAATGAGTGAATAATGATGAGATTATATTCTGCTGGACTGACAGCGTTTTCCAAATGGAGTTATTCTAAACGGTGCAGCACAGGGTTTTGTTGGTCAGCATGGCCGAAGAAACTGGTTCACATACACTTTGTGAAATACAAAGCACTCTAAGGCAAGAGCTTGTCTCAGAAAAATGAAGGGTTGTCTTTCTAGAACTGAGATCTGCAGGAAAAAGATTTGCGGCCAAATCAAAACTGAAAACCTGGGCAAAGCTCATGACAAAGATAACCGCATCAATTTAGACTGAAATCCTTTTTGGATTCGTGATGCTCACTGATGCACACAAAAGCGATTCTCGAGTCACTTGAAGAATTATCTTCTGTATGACAACAACTGTATCCCATGGTTTCTGACAAAAGGACTGGATCGGTATCAGGGTCTTTTTTTTCATTCTGTTGGTTCAAGATTCACTGTGACTGATTCCTCATCACATTTCATTTGATGGGTCTAGTGTTCATGAATTGGAAAGCGTCCCATCCCTAGAGGTAGTTACTAAAGATAAGTAAGGTTCCATTTCAAAGTGCTTTACGTTCAGCTATTTTGAAGAGTGTGACTACCACAAACAGTTTCTTATTCTCTCTTTAGAGAATAACGGCCTGCGTCCGTTGTGATTCCTTAATCAACATATTTGGGGTCAGTGGCTTTGGATATAATCAGATAAACTGCGGTTGTACAACGGTGAAACACAGAGATCAACACTAACGTTGCTGTCTCCGATGCTAATGACGGGTGGTCGTGTTCTAGACTTCATAGTACCCGTCATCGGAGCAGGGCGGCTGATATCACCTCGTGCTTGTTCTTCAGGTCAGAATGAAACTAAACGAATGTGTCCTACAGAACACCTTGGAGTATTCAAGTAATTGGTTTACCTTTTCAATAGGATTGGATTTCACTCTCAAGTTTCAAAAATTGGTCAAATGACAGTCAGCTTTATAAACCCGAGCAGGTATATCAAATAACTGGGTGCGACAAACGCAGTGACCCTGCATTCAAATACTTAGACAGTGTTTGAAATACTGAAGTGAACTACACTTGACTCTGGCAGGCCCCATTATGAGTTCATGGTATTTTTTCTCTTTTTGCATCACGCTTTCATTATGATTGCTACTCTGTGGTTGACGTCCATGACTGCATCATTTTAGAGCCTGCCGACCTCAAACGCCTCAAGCGCCAAATAGTGAAGAGCCTAAGGAAAGACCGAGAGCTCTGGTGGACGTCGAAAGTTCGGAAGATGGAGAAGGCTTTTGCTTCGGGAAACAGTCGTTTCCTATGCCAACTGATAGATTGGACTGGCCCTAGGAAAACAACGGTTGGTGAAGTGATAAGCGAGAATGACGGCTCATTAATTTACTCGCAAAAAACGTCGACTGGAAAGATGGGCTGAACACTTTGAAGAACAGTCTAGCTGGCCTGCTGCAACGGAGTCTGTGGAGATATTGCATACGGGTGAATGGAATGCAAACCTTGATCACTCGTCGGAAGAAGAAATAAGGTACGAAATATTCGCACTTGAAAATAAGAAGGCACCAGGACTGGATGGTCTCTATTCAGCCCTCTCAAAAGAAGATGGAATAACCCTGGCGGCCCATCTAACAAGACTAATTGGTGCGATATGGAGTGAAGTGCCTTCAGAATGGGACATGCCAACAGTAATTCCCATCTCCAAAAACGGTACGCG